TTAGTACAATATCCTCTTATCTTGGTAGCTAAGATGAAGCAGACTAGTTACAAGTAGGGGTGCGGGCAGGGAATGCCCTAGGAACAACCGGGAGGGGTGAGCAAGTGTACTGTACAAGTATGATATATAACGAGGCGTCGAGACAAAAGCCGATAGCCTATGCTCTTGTTGACTGCAGCTTATCATGGGTCAAATTTCCAATGGCAAAGTGTAACCACGCTTTTCAGAAAACGCCCGGTTCCTGACCTGGAGAGGTGAAGGATCCACTCACATGGGCACGGAAGTTGGACCCAGGGGCAGAAATTTTCAAGTCTGCTGAAAAGGGAATCAAACCCATGGACGTTCTTACTTGACTTTCGCGTGAATGGGAATCTCTTTCACGAGAGTGTCGCAGTTACTTTCTTAGTTTGGAGAATTTTTGAGGCCTTTATCACACTACCCCGCTTTTGGGCTTCTAAAGGACGCCATTTGTTTTCCTTGTTAGTTGGTTGTTTTGAAGCTCCCCTATGGATGTTGAGTGATCTGGTCTTCATGTCATAGCCTAGAGGTACTATGCGGGGGTTGTACCCATCCACGATTAAAGAATCCAATGAAAGAGAAATCCAGCCCGGCGGGTAGAGCAATCTCTTACACAGAGGCTAATTTGTAGAGAAATGGCTGACTCAAGAGGGGCCAATGCATAGGTTCAATTTGAGTTTGGTATGGTATTTAGATTTGATGGCTCGGGACTCCGAATGAGAGAGCCAGACTTTATACTTGTCCCAAACAAGAAGCATCGGAAAATATGAGTCGTGAGTTTGTATGGAACCTCAGATCCACACGGATTTTTTTTTTTGCCTTGCACTTGTACTTGTGCTCGTGCTTGTATTCTGCGAATCCCTATTTTCGGATACCGGTACTCCCCTGGCACGGGTACCAGGGTCAACATGTCTCAAAGGATTAACTTACACTTTCCGTCAGCCCCTAAGGCAGCATGTTCCGTAGGTCTGCAGGGACGTAAGATACTTCGAACAAAAACATGGGGAAGTGCTCGGATACCAGGATTAGCCCGTGAACCGTTCCTATGACTGGTCATTTCTGACACATAAGTGAGTCTCTTGATTGAAATAGAGAAGAAATTCCGTGAACATTTTGCGATTCTCTATTTACATTGAAGGGGTTTCTCTAGTCTGGCTAGTAAGGCCACCATGGCACGTTCATGGATTATGTCCTCCATACGGGTATTCAGCGCATCTAATGTAGTTCAATAAACTCTGCCAACGCATTGAAATTGCCAACCAGTAAAGAAAGAGTAGGACGTTGAAGTAGATTCTTCAGTGGGAGTAACCCCTGCAAGACAGCATTGAAAATGCCCCGGAATCGCTTGAATAAAGTGTGGTGCTGCATTTCACAGCCCTTCCTAGCTGGTCTTCCGAGCGAGAGAAAGGATGTTGTCCTCCATTGTCTGGAGAGCGGTGCTGTTATCGTTAAGTGAGGAGAGAACATTTTGGCTAATAGAATCGCACTAGTAGAGCTTGACATATGTTCTTTCTCAGAGCCTGCATATAAAAGTACCGGCGGCCTCCGTCTTCTCACACTCCTGTTTATAGAAGACCATCACTGCGGCTTTTATTGACCGCAATCGAGTAAGACAGCTGGGATCCAGCGATATTAGAGGAGCAGCCTCACGGCACTTGCACAGCCCTTTTCGGGATCCAGGGCGAGAGTAATGCAGTACTGTGCACGGTAAGCGGGATCTTGTTAATCGGGAGTCGCCTCTTGCTGTCACAGCAGTGCCGGTGCACACTCTTTTTGGTCCGTTCTGGTGCCTACAACCGTGATGCTTTTCTACGTGGGCATCAAATCCAGGCGGCACACCGATTCGGGACTTTGCTGAGTTATGATACCTAAGTTAATCTCCAAAACGCAGGTACAAATTATATGTCCGAAGCTCCAAAACAGGATACCCCGATTTCTCGGGGAGCACCGCAATAGCGAGATTCTACTCCGTAGTGCACATTATGTCGCCACAGGGACGGCAAGGGTTCGACTGGGATGAATGGAAGTTGTGGGAAAATTTTTTATCGCGCCCACTGAAGGCTGAGAGAACCCAGCGCAAAAATAATAATATTATAGCATAATAGAAGGATAAACAACTGAGGATAGCTAGCCCCACCAGGGTAAATCTCAAACCTTCCTGTCATACGTCAGGCCAACCGTTAATTTTTGTCGTCCTAAAACCTTGCATGGGCTTGGGTTACTATAGCCCCTAACCTTACTTTGCCTGGTTTTCTAACTACCGTATGTGAAATCCTTTAGCAGAAACCGAAAGGAGGATACACCGAAGATTCTCCTAGAATGGGCGCCCAGAGATAGTATGCAAGATGGAGCATAATCCCGCTCATGAGCGGAAAAGATGGCACCGATGATGGCCCGTCAGCAGTCTACCAAGCATGCGGTGTTGTTAGGACTGTGGGCAAGGGACTGCAGTGCAAGCAAAAGTGTCCTGAACATGCTGAGAATCTAAACACTATATGCCCTTCTATACTTCCCTTCCTCAGAAATTGCACTCAGCTCACCGGGTATGATATCTAGTTCAGTTTCCCTGCAACTTTTCCGGGGAGATGATACACATCATACTCGCACAGACTATGGAGTTCTCTCCCAGAGCGTGAGGGCCATGGGAAGCAGGAAACCAAGGAGCCATTTCGGATTCCTTCAATCCATATTCTCAAAGTGCCTATCGTATCACCAAAGGTCTAATATTTCTTTAACCTAAATATACCGGTATCTCGGGGAAACTATCTTCCCCTCCCGAGACATCCCTTCTTAACTTCAGTACCACAACGGCAGAGCAAAGTGGAGTTAATAGTCCTGCCTGTTCTTGCCTCGATCCTATTCTGCATACTTTCTTTCCGCGCATCTGGTTGCCACCCAAACCTTCAATTTGACCTCAATTATGATGCATTGATATAAAAAAGTTTTACTTAAGATATATGATATATCACATTATGATTCATGGCAGCTAGTATTGCCACATGTTCTTGTCTTGGCACAAATAATGCTGCTGAATAATACAATAGGCACAGGTGGCAGGTGTTTGGTGCCAGTGAGAGCTGTGACGCTGGGGGAGACTCGAGTGCAAGTACGGTAGCATACTAAGTCATCCTTTCCTCGATTTGCAAAATTGTTGAACAAGTACATAAAGAAATAACAGGATGAAGAGTAACTGTTCAGCCAAGTATATTGAAAATACCAACTGTGGAAGTTTGCCATCTCTAGTCCTGCCTATGATAGATAATCTTCCAAATACAAGCTTCTTTGTAGCATTCCTGTGAAGTCATAAATCTCACTCATATTCTTACTGAAGTAACCCAAAAAAGTATCAAATTGGTGTG